CTATACGGTGGTATTAATATATCGATTTTTGATGATAGTGCCCTTTTTCCCGGTCTAATTTTGAACTACTTTTGGAATAAGGGTCCCCATATCACGTACTTGTACTCCTTCCCTGAAAAATTCAGCTTGTGACACCGAAGTGGGATGCATATATAAAAGATCAACGGTTTTTTTTACATCCATCCCGCCGGAACCGCCTCACCAATCTTGATGATTCTTTTTTTAAATGAAAGGTATATATGTCTAGACTTGTATGAAGTATTATTATATCGTTTAATCGGTATTTCTTTATGTAAAACGAATAAATATTAAAAGATACCTGAAAAACACCTACACAAAATACCTCCAGAAATCAATTATTTGTCATTGTCAGTGGTGTGTCAGTAAGATTATACATCAAGTTTTTAGATATTTTAGGGGTCAGTTCATACCACCAGCTTTAGATACATCAATATTAGCACAAAGGTTCGTTTAAAGGACATTAGTGATTAGTGAATTAGTTATGCAAAGCGATTTTAGAAAATTCATCCTCTTAGAGTGTAAAATTATGTCGAACGATTTGTTGTATGAAAATCATTTACCATCTGGTCTAGAAGAATGAAATTCTACAGAAAGAAGAATAAGAAGAGATTTTTGAAATGCATCAACCAAATGGGTAAAGTTAGTAAAAAATTATATAAACCTTCGTGACATCTGGATTATACACATAAAAATTTGCACCAAGGATCATTTAAAAAATATGAGTTAATTATTTGGACATAGGGATTTATGAAATTCATACTAAGGGTATGAATTGGGAATAGGGTAGAATAGGGAATGAAAGTTTGCTGTACGAAAATGCATTACTAAAACATCTAGAAGTATAACATATTATACAAGGGTTTATTTAGTGACATCAATAATATGAACGAAATATTTATTTTTCAAATCATCCTTCTAGGAATAAAAAATTGCATATAAAGAGAGTATTAGCGCTGCTCTGAAAAATAAATAAAATCAGGGAGATATCAAGAAAAGCAAAAATTAAAAACTTTGCTATATATCAAAGCTATTTATTTTAGTAATACAGTTTATAGGGGACCATAGGTAGGGGTTCTATCCATAGAGTGGTAAATGTCATTTCACTATTTATTATTTTCGAGAGATTTTCTTTTTCAGATTTTTGCAAAATCTCGACTTTGGTTCGAGTTCTAAAACACCTTATATAAATTATTAAGAAATATAAAACCGCCACAGAAGAGCGCCATAAACCCTCTATCCAAACATACATAATTAGTTTCAGTCAATGGAAGTGGTTAGAAAAATTTGAAAAAGAGTTTTAAAAAGCAAGATTTCAAAATCATTTTGGGGCCAAAATTGAACTTCTTTGAAATACTTTGACTTCGATAACTTCTAGAATTATTAAGATTATTTATTTCAGACGGGTCTAATTAAAAGTTTTATTTTTGATATACAAAGTGTGTCCTAAATTCATATACTGGGGGATGAAAAAACGGTTTTTAAATTTTCGGATTTTTTTACATACATAATCCATATCCATACATATAAAAGCTCAAAGGTTTTTTTTGTTATATCCATCCCGCCGAAACCGCTTCACCAATCTTGATTCTTTTTTTAAATGAAAAGTATGTATGTATAGATTTGTTATGAAGTATTTTTATATTGTTTAATGGCTATTTCTTTGTGTAAAACGACTAAATACTAAAATATACCTGAAAAACACCTATACAAAATACCTCCAGAAATAAATTATTTATTTGTCATTGTCAGTGGTGTGTCAGTTAGATTATATATCAAGTTTTTAGATATTTTAGGGGTCATTAATACCGCTAGCTTTAGATACATAAATATTAGCACAAAGGTTCGTTTAAATGGCATTAGTGATTAGTGAATTAGCTACGCAAAGCGATTTTAGGAAATTCATCCTCTTAGAGTGTAAAATTATGTCGAACAATTTGTTGTATGAAAATCCCTTACTATCTGGTCTAGAAGAATGAAATTCTACAGAAATAATTAGAAGAGATTATTGAAATTCATCAACCAAATGGATAAAGTTAGTAAAAATTTATATAAACCTTCGTGATCTCTGGATTATACACATAAAAATTTGCACAAAGGATCATTTAAAAGACATGAGTTAATTATTTGGACATAGCGAATTTATGAAATTCATATCCATAGAGAGTAGAATAGGGAATGAAAGTTTGTTGTACGAAAATGCATTATTATTACTGTCCTCCATTCATGCAGTTGTGCAGCTCTGAACTGTTCCAGAACGCGATACTCTCACTCCATTCAATTGAGTTATAAAGTTCAGGACTGTTCCGCGCCATATGGACACCCATATCCTAGGCTATCGCGCTCAGCTCCCTTTCAGAACCGTCTGAGTATTCAGGGCTTCTCTTCCAGAACCGTTCTGAGTAGCCCAGGGCGCAAAGCTCTGGAACTTGAAATTCGCGAATGGAGGACAGCATATAACATCTAGAAGGATAAAATTTTATACAAGGGTTTATTTAGTGACATCAATAATAATATGAACGAAATATTTCTGAAGTGTTCAATATTAAATGTAGATATTCTTGAAGTTATGCGGAAGTAACAAGTAATGTTTCCGGTGAGACCGCGTATTATGTCACCGGATTTTGCTTAGTATAAAGACTTTTTCTATAGAAAGAGTTTTTTCTATATTTTCTTTCGTAAAATAAGACTAATTTCTTCTTATTCTTTTAAATATTACAGTGTTTCTTTTTCCTAAAATGTTATACTTAAATTTTCACTTAAAATTAAAAATTACAAATGGAGAAAAAATATAAGTTATTGAATAAAGTTTATACAAATCACTTTACCATAATAAAAAAGTAACAACATGTCATGGCGAAAGATATTCAGGTGGTATTTGACACATTTATCTATTAAAATCGAGATTAAAATAATAAACTTGCGTAACATGTTATACATGAGATAGAAAATTTCAGAATCGATTAATACGCAATACGCTACGCAGTCAACTTGTTCCTATGCGCGGATGAGCGTCTTCAAGACTCTTCCATCGGCCAGGGTCACGACGCCGCCGAAGAGGAATCGGCCTACGTTTAGTTAAACAGGCTGGACACGGTGGACTACGATATTGGCTAGTCTGAATATTTATAAAAAATTGCAAAATAAAATATGTTGGAAAAATAATTAATAATTTATTAAATTATTTTATTTAACTGATTAATTTTCATTGAAAAGGCATTTTTGCAATTCGCCACTATATTAGATAAAAACTAAAAAACTCATATCAAATTTAAGTTTTGCGATTTTGACCTATACTTTTAACAAAATCTGAACACATTTTAAAAAAGTTTTTGATAATAGTTGTGTAGATTGACTACAAGTTGTATAACATAAATTTCTACGACCGGTCTACCAAGTGGTCTGCAGCATTGCCTTGTGGTGCAAACGTGGGCCTGTTAATCTGTGACGTGACGCCAAACCAAACATTCAAGAAAAACAGAAGCGTGGCTAATAATTTAGTAATTTAAAAAAAATGTATTTTAGATACAGTAGTAGGTATTAAAAAGTTTTGTGTTTAAATGGGGTTTGCCTTTAACAGTTAAAAAATTATATCGTAAAGTGTAACTTTCCGTATAAGGATTCTTTATCTGTCATCGATCATGATCTGTCATCATGTTAAACTGATGTTTTGTATGTTATTTTGTTTTTTTGCTTGTTTGTTTTACGGATAGGTGGCGATCGCATAATTATTATTGATTATTGATAATGTTTTATTTAATGTTAACATTACTACTTTTTCAGTGAATGTTTAAATCTGTTGTTTTTTTGTTAATTTCGTTATTTAAACATATGTATGTAATACACTCATATTAACACTAATCATATTTTTACGTTTTTATTCATCATTTTCAATGCCCCCCGGTTGCATCTTTGTAAAGGACTGTGAATTTTTTTTTAAACAGGACACTTTATATATTATTTTTTATTTTATTTGCCTTGTTATGAGCTTTCTAAAATTATAATATACTCTATGTTTATTTATTTAGGTACTGTTAAACTGCTAAACGACTCTTATTTTATTTAACTTAATTTTACCAGATAATTTTGCTTTGCATCGTGATATTTTGACAAGGAAACTGAACTTGTGCTGCTTTTAAATAACATACCAATAACCAACATTTTACGTCGAATAGATTAGTTGATTGTTTTGATTACCTAATTTAAACCGGCCGACTATGTAATAAAGTTAAATAATGTATTTTTACCCCGTTTATGAAAATAAGTATTTTAGAAAGCCCGTAACAAGGAAAATAAAATAATATACAAAATATCGCATTTAAAAAAACATATAAGTTTTAGTCAATTTAAAAAAGACAAATTCCAACGAAGAAATAGTTAGGTCACTGCATTCTACGTGAAAAACTGTACGGGAGACCGTTTTCACCTTTTCGATAAGTTATGATACAAAGGGGATCGAAAAATGCAATAATTTCAGATTTGCCCTGTATTTTAGGAAGTAAGAGATCTAGGAGATATCTGTATGTAGCATCTTTAGTTTCATAAAAAAGTAACAGCGTAATGTGAAAACCGCATCTCTGTATCTCGACTCATAAACGAGAAACCCTGCAGAACACAAAAAAATGGGACACCCTGTACAGACGTACTGCCAAATCAAGAAATCAACTACGAATGAAATCCAAGATCGATTTATATATTTTATATATTTTAATATTTTTTTGCGTTCGTGATAATTCCTTTGCTACTTCGTCCAAAAACCGACAGTACGGGGAAGGAGCGTTTCGAGGAAGTAAACGGACGAAGGAGCGTTTTGACGAAGGAACGAAGGAACAAACCGTCGCATAAAATCGACATTTTCCATAGTAAATATAAGATTTTTGGACGAAGGGACGCGACGAAGGAAGGAAGTGAAGTGCGAAGTGTGAGTATGGGGCTTAACACGTTATACAGTGTAATAAATTGTAGTTAACTAGAAATTTTAATAGTATTTATTAAAAATATATTTAATAATTATATAATATAGTATGTAATTGTTTAAATTTATCATGAGTTATATATAAAATTAATGTAAATTTTCTTGGTTAACATAAATTATATTTCCCAAATGTATGTACTATATTAATGTACAGAACAGCCAACCTAAAGTTATATATACAGAGAGGTCAAAGACAAATTTTACAAATAAATATATACTATTATCTACACATACATTATTTGACAGTTTGGCACATTCCATTCCTGCATATTTTATCTACATGACCATTGCCAGTTTTTTTGTTATTAAGTCTTTGTTCCTTGGATTGTAAGGCTTTCCATTTATTATTTTTGTTTAAATATTCTATTCTCAACTGCCATTTGTTATTCTCTAATATTGACATAGTTAACCTTAACCTTAAATTGGAAATATCAAACTCAAACTTATTTATTACACATTTGTTATCAATTCCCTCTTTTATCCATTCGATGAATCTAACAAAAAGTTCATATTTTCCGGCACACAATAGTTCATTTTCAACAGTTCATTTTTCATTTTCAACAGTTACACAATAGTTCATTTTCATTTTCTAGAAATTTAATGGCATTTTGTTTATTATACAGACATATTTGTGTTTCAGCCTCGACTTTTTCTTCATGACTGAAGAAGAGGCTGATTGTATTTAATTTATTATCTGGATACATTTGGGTAGACATTTCAGCTTCAACTTCCGATTCCACCCTTTCATTTTCTTTTTCAATTAATTCATTAGTATCCAAAGTTTCTCCCAACAATCGTTCAAAGTTCTTTCTAGCAGCCGGAATAGGATATTTTCTTTCCACGTACGTTTTTTCCATAATACAAAAATTGGCATCTTTGTCTCTAAGCTTGGTTGCGTAAAAAACAACTGAAATTTTTGGATGACACGGCAGTACATCAGCTAGAATATCATCAGGATTAGTTAAATAACGTAAAAGATTATCGTCTGTATACAGTGGAGTTTTTCCTATAAGGAACAAAGGATCTTCTTTAAAGTTATGTAAATATTTCAGACAGGTCAATAAATTTACCAGCACTGCTTCTAGGGCAGATAACATTTTAGGATCTGATGCGAGTTTAAATGGATCGGATTTAGGTGACATAATGTTGACCAGCGTTGCCTGATATTTATTAAACACTATATGAACTTCCTTTTTGACTGCACTTGTAACAATATTTGGAACGTTGCTATGCAACGATCTATTATTCGTGCTAATTTGGTCTCTAATACAACATATCAGTTTGCGTATGAATTCGCCAATATCTTTAGATTCTTCGTCAAATTGTTGTTTTGTGTTGAAAACGTTCTTGACTTTAAACTTCTTTTTTATTGCTGATTTTATATTACTTATAATATTTGTTATGTTATTACTATTGAATATTGTGCTTACTTCGGCTTCCTTGATTATTAATTGTTCTTCTGAGGTGAATTTATCTCCATCAAAGTACAGGCCAATAGGTAAATTTTTAGAGAAATGTTCTTTTAGATCATTAAACAAATTTGATATTTTATTCAAACATTCTCTAACGTTTTTGATATTGTGTAAATCTACCAAATTGTTTTGATCATTTTGGAACAAACTTGAACGTAGTTTGTTGCTCAAATCCTTGTTGTATAAGAGTCGCTTAATAATTTGTGTAGTACGAGTTATGCATAAATTATTGATTTCTTTATCAGCCAGCTTGTAGGAGGTTTTTGTCAGAGCTGTTTCCATACATGAGCGCATTTTGTCCAAATCATAAATATATTTTAACATTCGGTAGTCTTCAGATAAAAGTTTCATATTTTTAAAATATTTTTCTTGGTCGAAGTTTTCACAGTTGATGTCATTTATACCTTTTTGGAAGTGAATTAAATATCCGCTTAGTTTATCGGCATTTGCTACTTTTTCATATAAATCTTTATGGTTTGAACCGTTCAAGACGAAGGCCGCGTATGTCAGCATATAAAACTGCAGCTCTTCGCCCATCAGCTTTTTTTTATAATCATCAGACATGCAAGCAATCATTCGTGACAATATCTGTAAGAGTAAGGCATATTGATGGCAATGGTCAGTTTTATTTAAATGTTTAAATTTGTTTAATAGTATCTCAATTAAAACCGTATCCTTTATCGGAGTACTTTTGCAATTGCCGCTCAGCAATTGATATATCAAAAGTTTCCATATTATATCGAAACTTTCTTCTTTATTGTAACGTTTTTTAATTAGCTTCTCTGATAAATAGTTGTACTTTAGAGCACTATTAAATTCCTTTGAATCCAATTTCAAACCTTTGTTTTCAGCCAGCTTACGGATCATGTATGGTTCGGCTCCATCCATTTTCATTCTTGAAAATTTTTTACTCTTTTTGATTGTTTTACTTAGGTGCTTACACAGAACCAGCTATATCTAAAAAATATATCAATTAAAAATATTTATTTTTCTAAAATTCATTTTCATTAAATTCCATTTTAATATAATAAATAAATATAATCATTTAAATATTGACTTTATTTTTAATTAGATTCCAAACTAGTGAAACTAACCATGGACATTAAAATATCGAAATATTGTACAGGGTATCCCATTTATTATTAGCCGTATTTTGAAATTTTTAGCCCAGCATTTGCCATATTATACAGGGTTAATGGGGGGTTGTTTTCTTACCTTAACTTTAAAATACTCTGTGCAATAATTTCGTATGTGATTTTCCTAAAATATAAATTTTACAGTGAGAATCATGTCTCCTGAGCATTTTGTTTTTTGGATCATGCTTTGGTTAATTTTTAAGAGCAAAATGAACTTGCCAGCAACAATTTGTAAGTTTTTCAATTATCATTTTTTTTTAATTTTTTTTTTCAATATGACAATCTGGCTTTGGTGATTATTTTGAACTATATACTACTATGAACTGCCGATCATGTTCGACGTTTGGGAAATGCCTGGCAGAAGGATTAGAGTTCGCGAAGCGATACCAGCTTCATTAAATGAAATTCGCTTGGTTCTTAAAGAAGAATGAGAAAGTATAACGCAATATAATATAGGCAGCCTCAATGACAATATGAACGGAAGTATACAGGCAGTTATAGCAGCCAATGGAGGCATCATAAAGTATTAGGGTATATTTTACATTTTTTTTTCTGTTTGTATACTTGAGTATTACAGATGTTTCTTTAATATCGTCAGTTCTGTTATCGTTATTAATGTTTATTAAAGCCAGGACTGTATCGTTAGTCTTTAAGTTTTTTTTTTAAATTTAGTATAGAGTATCCAATGCAGCATAATATGACGTTACGAGGATAGTCCCCAAAACCATTTCGTCATATTAAAAAATTACTTTCATCAAAATGTAATGATAATTGAAAAAATTGCAAATTGATCGTGATCAGTTAATTTCGCTCTTAAAAATTAACCAAAGCATGTATTGACATGAATCAAAAGACAAAAAGAGATGATCAGACGTCATGGTTCTGACCGTAAAATTATATTTTAGGAAAATTACACACGAAATTATTACACAGTGTGTTTTAAAGTTAGGGTAAGAAACAACCCTTCGATTAACACTGTATAATATGCCAAATACTAAAGTTTATATAAAAACTTAGTTTACGAATTAAAGTTGATATAATTATGGCTGTACTTAAACTGCCGTTAAACGGTAGCTTACTAAAATGCCGTTAATAGGTATGACGTCGTTGATGTGACGCACTTGACGGCTTTATGAAATATAGGAATTTTATAAGGACTAACCAACGCTATCCACTCCACCAAATAACCAACTTAACCAACGCAACTAACCTCGCCACTGATAAAAAAATTTAAAAAACAAATATAAATTAGTAAAAACCAACCAACCCCACCAAATAACCAACTAACCAATGAATTAACACCCTCCAAATAATCACGCTAACCAACCCGCCAAATAACTAAACCAATCCAAAAAAACAAGAGTCAAACCAATGCAATAAGATCACGCTATAAGCAAAAAAAAAATATAAAAAAGTCCTGGTCAGCGTGAGATTTGAACCTCGGACCATTCGCTCACGAACCGATAGCCTCAGCCACGGAGCCACAGGTGCTATTGCAATATGCTTATGGCTAGGCATTACTTTCCGCCGACATGAACGACGTCACAATATCTATTAACGGCATTTTAGTAGGCTACCGTTTAACGGCTGTTTAAGTACATCGTATAATTATATACAACTTGCTAAAAAAATCATGAAAATAATGCTAAAATTAACAAAAATATAACACTTTAAATTTGACCCAAAATTTTTTCGTTGCATTTTTTTGCATCTGAGTGTAGTCTATAATATTTATGCTCGTACACAATTTAGCTTTGAACTTTCAAACATTAGCGCTTTATTATTTATAGAACCTATAATAAATACCTAACATACTGTTGAATTAACATTTGATTTGTCATTTGTCAATTATCATATGTCAGTATACAGGATATTTCTCAAAAGTGGCTTACCCCCAATTTTTTTAATTTTTTAGATAAATAAACGAGATGAGGTACGAGTAAATACCATAAATCAGGATTCATTGACGTATTCTATTATTTTCGGTCACTTCCTGTTTCCACGAAAATTACTACACCTTTTGATTTTTAATGGCACCCTCTGTATTTTTTCTTTATTCGATAGAAAATGCCACTCTGAATAGAATGACATATCATACGTCAAGTTTTGGCATTCTTGCTTAAAAGATCGTATTTTAATTTTCGATCTACAGTAACATGGCTGTGTTAGTTTTTAATCAAGGAGCATTGGAAAAATTACTTTGATCGTTTAATGTTTTGCGTGTCTGGTTCTGGCCGATTAAAAGATGCCCAAAACGCACTTTTAATCATAATTCAATTTTTTCAAATGGAACGAGGGTGGCTCATTAGCATATTTGGAAGAATCATTTTTTTAATAAATATTTTGGTACCACAGACATAGTATTTCGAGTCAAATTGTCCTTACATTTATTGCCATGCTACTCTAAATTGAAATTTAAAATGCTATTGTTTTAATTGGAAATGTCAATAGCGAGGGGGAAACCGCTGACCTAAATTTTGTACACCAACTTCCCTTTTATGCAAAAACTTCCTCATACATTCCTGATACATCCTTTACATCCTTTTTACTTCCTTCTACCCCTTTTAATACTTTCTTTACATCCTCAATACTTAGAAATTTTGTATAAGGGCAAACCTAAACTATGTATTAGGATGTATTACAGGAAATATTTTAACTTCTACAGGGTGGCTCAAAAAAGTTTTAATCACTTGATATGCAGTCTAGTAAAGTGATCAAAAAGGCAGCCAAAATACAATAAAGTACAGGGTGTTGCATTAAAAAAAACATCCCAATCCCGATTAATCTTTAAAATTTGATCCACCCACATCAGCTCGAAATTTATTACAGAAGTCCTTTTAACATCATTTTCGTCAACTGACTCGTCGAAAATAAAGTTTCAAAAGTCGCGTATCGCCATCTGAAGAGAAACCAAATATTTTTATTCCATATCAATAAGCTTCCTGCTCTAAATATTTCCATCTTTGTATGTAAAAATATTATCCATACAATATACTGACAAACAATAAGCTGGCGCTTCGTGAGATTCCTAAAATACTCACTTTTAAAACAAAACTCGAAGACAAACGCTAGAGAATTGCTGCAGAATATTCAAAAACCGTATACAAAAAAATGTATTATTTGAATACCAACTTAAAGCAGTTCTAAGCTCAAGTAGCTCAAGTAGAGATCAGATTCTATGATCAACTATATTCTATATAAGGAAGTTCTCCTGTTTTTCTTTTTAATTTATAATAATTCTCCTGAACTTTACCTGGACTACCTTCATACTTCCTCAATACTTCCCCGATATTTCCTCCTACTTCCCCGTACTTCCTCGCACTTTCTCAATACTTCCTAAACTTCGTCTATACTTCCCCTACTTCTTCCATACTTCCCGTACATCCTCGCATACTTTCCCCTTTTTGTACACCAACTTCCCCAGCGGTTTCCCCCTCGGTCAATAGTTGACATATAATATCTCATTCAATTCAGAATGTCATATTGTATAAAAAATAAAGTAAAAAAATACAGAGTGTGTCATTTTAAAATCAGAAGTGGTAATTTCCTGTGAAACAGGAAGTGATCGAAAACAATTGAATACGTCAATCAATCCTAATTTATGTCATATACTAACATAGCGAAAAAGTTAAGGGCTTGAGCCTCTTTTGAGAAACAGTATAGATATTTATATTCTTAAATTATTAATAAACACACATGAGAGAATAAAACAAGATAACAAAACAACTAAAATTTGAAGATAAGATTAATTGAGCAGTTAATTGGAATTCACTTTAAGTGAATAACTCGAAAAAACTTGAGCTTTAGTTACAAGGACATGGACTTTAGAATAATAAATGTAGATAAGAATTATAATTAACACATTAAAGAGTAACCCAACTTAAATATTCCTTAAAATTTATCCTTTCAGAAACCAAAAAATCGAATTAAAATTTAATTTATTTTTTTGCTGACAATTTAATTCCTTTATATTAGTTAACTTAGGCAAGTCTATATTAATTAGTTAATAATAAATATATACATATATTTAAACTTACCAGTTAGCTACTACAGACTCTTATGTGTATACACTTTTATGTTTTTTTTTATCACTTATTTTGGGTGTAGTTTTATAGATATATTTTAAAATATATATTTGGTATCAATATATATTTAAAAATACACTACTACTAGAAAATAAATTGCGATTTTCTATATCATGTTTTTAATTTGATTGAAATACATATACAACTGGTTAATGATACATATATGTTTCAAATAAATAAGTACTTTACGATATTAGATTAGATTATTAACAAAATAAAAATTAATCCATTATCAGTAATATCCATTCTATTGTGATATTTCGTTATTACGATAGCATTTTTATTATCTATCCACATTCCATCAGGATGAGAAGTGAAATTCACTTGAACAAATCGTTGTTTACCTATCGGTATATGTATAATAATAAGAATATTGTAATACAATTATCTATTAATTGAAAGTCTTTAATGCGATATATCAAAAATCAGTTTATTCTATTGTTTTGGAATATTTTGTATGCAATGTTTAAACTCCAAGTCGTCCATAATATACAACAGTATAGATATCTAAGCGTTATACCCTCTCTTATACCCTATTACTAACACACACACTTTCACACACTTTGGAATAGTATTCCAATAAGGGCACAAATATAGTGAGGCATCTCGATGCGTTGCTCGCCAAGATGTTGGCCGTGCTTCTCGCCAGGATGCTAGCCGCGATGCATCCTACGCGCACTGTTTTAAAACGGCGAGTAAGTGCGCATAGGATGCATCGCTACTATCGTACCAACATAGTGCGGGGCATTTCATCTCGACGCGATACGCGCCGCATCTCGACGTGATGCAAGCCATCCGGCGATGCTGAATCAAACATGTACAAATCTATGCGTCAAAACCATAGACTTAAAATAAAATATAGACTGAGCATCTCATTCATAAATAGCTGGAACATGCGGTCAGACAATGTTTTGTTATTATTGTGTTATTGTTTTAGGTTATAACGAGTGCGACACGAGTGATAGATAGGTTGTCTCTGTCGTAACGGTCGTTCCCTGACGACTCTGCCGAGAAACACAACACTGTCTTTCGTTTCTCAAGTACACCTGAACTCTCCGTATCATAGCCGGGTAATTTTTTTATTTTAATGAAGCTATAATTAAATTAAAAATATATCGTATTTAAACTTTTTTATATTTTATTAAGATTTAGGACAGGTTTTTTAAATAAAAGTTTAGAAAAAACGTCTTAGAGTCCAAAAAGGATAAAAATAATAAAATACACGTTATAGGAGAAATTTTACAATCGAAATTACGTAATTATTGAAATGAATAATAAATTATTAATTTTAGTCAAACATTTACAACCCCTAATATTTATCAAAACAGGATCTATTTCACAGATATAATAGAATCGGCGACAGGGAGAAAAAAAAAATGATTGTTGTATTTTTTTTTCTGGTTAAGTGATGTCTTATTATGTAAATTAGAGAAAACATAAATCTGTTCCATTAAAGCAAGGAAGGTGATAGGAAGTGGATAAAATGAAAACTACATTTATTTAACTAGGTACTGTCTTTATTATACCGGGTGCGTCCCAAAAGTGGCTCATCCCATAATTTTTATATTTTCAAATAAAAAACAAGATTTAGTATGTTAGTATATGACATAAATTAGGATTGATTGACGCATTCAATTGTTTTTAGTCACTTCCTGTTTCACCGGAAATGACTATAACTTTTAATTTTTAAACGGCACCCTCAGTATATTTCTACTTTATTCGATAGAAAATGACACTCTGAATAGAATGACATGTCATATGTCAACTTTTGACATTTTCGCATATGGTTTAATTATAATTGTAACACGCGGTTCATAACGACAATTTGACTCGAAATACCAAGTGTGTGGTATCAATATATTCATAAAAAAATGCTTTTTCCAAATATGCTAATGAGTCACCCTTGTTCCATTTGAAAAAATTGACATATGTATGATTAAAAATACGATTTGTACATATTTTAACCGACTTAGACAAGACACGAAACCTATTAGACGATCAAAACTATTTTTCCAAGGCTCCTTGATTAAAACTTAGTGTTTTTAACAACACCATGGCACCCTGGATTGAAATTTAAAATACGATTTGTTTTTCAGCGACAATGTCAAAAGTTGACATATGATATGTCATTCTATTCAGAGTGTCATTTTTTATCGAATAAAGTAGCAATATACCGAGGTTGCCTTTAAAAATAAAAAGATGTAATCATTTCGGTGAAACAGGAAGAGACCAAAAACAACTGAATACATCAATAAATCCTAATTTATGTCATATACCTATAACATACAAATCTGTTTTTTTTATCTGAAAAAATAAAAAAGTTATAGGGGGTGAGCCACTTTTGAGACGACCCGGTATATTAAAAAATATTGTTTCATAATGTAATATCAATTTAAAATTCTTGTATGTTATTTTATATGCTCAAGATAATTTTAGAATAAACCATATTTTTAATAAAATCATTATTAATTATTAACAGGGTTATAATTATGACTTTGTTACAATGTAAGTAAGTAAATAATGTAATGAGAAAAAATTCAGATTTTACATTTTACTAAAATATTATCTAAATAAGCGCCTTTCTACAACAACGCCACTGGCTCCCAATGGGCAAATTGAGAGTTGTCTACCGGTCGAAAGTCGTTTCAAGACTTAAATGGATTATTTAAGTCAAATTTCTTGCAAATTTGGCACTGGCGAACCATATTTTATAGTTCTTGAACAGAAAAAGTCAATAAAATAAACACTTAAGGACTACAAACTAAGAAAATGCGTTAATACAGCCGGGGACATAGCGGCATCAAAGCTTTACCGCACACTTGCCACGCGTACTACAAGGTAATAAATGAATGAATAGGCTCCCTCGCCTCTAATCGGTGTTATCATATTGTAAAGAACTTATCCTTTTTAAACAGTATCCGACTTATAATTTAGTAGTATAAGGACTATTTAATACATCTATGGAATATTAAAACCTACTTTATTAAACTGTAGTATTAATATCTCAATATATGTGTATAACAAGAAAAAAATATTGATAATATTAAAGACGTGACAAGATAGGCTGGATGAGGAAAGCTCGGTCGACTGGAGGCGGCGGAATTTCCAAAATTTGTTATCTTATTGGAGTTTGTCTAACTCGACAGTCGTAGTGGAAGTGGAAACGGGGAAGTTGTTGTCCATCTCTGTTTAAGCTTAGACTTTTTATAGGCGTTTCATTCCAATGCATGTAATTCCTATGCCTAGATATCCTATTACCGGACCTGTATGTTCAGAGCGATGCTTCCTATGAAACAAAATTTTTGTTTTTTGCGAGAAGTGGACGCGGATGCCTGAAACTTTACATTTGATTGGTCGGTTTAGGATCACTATTCGTTGAGCATATGTTGAACTAGAGTTGGGTGGAATAAAATGTTCACAATACTAATATTTAATTTATCACCAAAAATGTAATAACCTGGATTCTACAGGGTCCGGCCATAGAGCGTCAGGCATCTGCAGCTCCTATAATAAAAAAACTTATGAATTTTGTAGTCCAGACATAAAGTATGTATTAGGATGTATTTGAGGAAAATATTTGAACTTCTAAAGGGTGGCTCAAAAAAGTGTGAGTGGATCGCAAATATTTTTTTAAATGGAACACCTATATACAGGGTGGCGCAACTCATTCGCCTCGGTTGATTATACGAAAACGAAAATATGTAGAAACAAAGTATTTTATGAGCATATGTGGGAAGACAATGTGCATAATTTAAAATTATTTTGAAATGAACAGGGTATGTCAGAACGTCAGAACTAAGATTTACACCAAAGTTATATTTTTTCTTAGGGAACACAGTATTTTATTTCATATTTGGATCCTTGGACACAAAATAAGGCATTTATTTTAAGGGTTATTATATATTAATATGTTTACAAGCTTTGGTTTTTGAGATATTTAAAGATATTTAAATATGCATGCTACAATGGAATAGATTATCAACACCCTGTACATTACTTTCTAGAATTAATTATTGTGCTGAGTTTAAAGATAGAGAAATAAACTTTACTGAAAAATTGTTTTGCTCCCTTAAATTTATACAGGGGTACCAAAAATTGATGATTTATTTTAAATATTTATTTTACATAAAAACCCTGTTATTTCAAATACGACAACTTGTATTTTTTAAAATAAATCGAAACAGATTCAAATGCTCTTTCAAACTATATTAGCTCAGATTTTGAATAAAGAGCCATAGGTATTCGAGGCTCCAACTAAAGTGAGAACATATCTACATACAGGGTCCGGCAATAGTGCGTCGGGCATCTGTAGCTGCTAGAATAAAAAACTTGGGAATTTTCTTGAAAATTCTTGGAAAATCTTGGATGTATTCCAGGAAAATATTTTAACTTCTATAGGGAGGGTCAAGAAATTAATTAAAAAAAAAAATAGAAAGGCTTGCGACGAATTATCTAGAGAAATGCTTCTTAAGTCTTCAGTGAGAGAAGTAAGGCGTATATTGGATAAGCGTTTAGAAGTAGGAGCTGGGCATATTAAAAATTTGATATTGTGATTGTCTGTATAATACGATGTTTCTGTTGTAATAATTATAATATATTTTGTTTTATGACAGTTTTGTTTTCTAAGGTAAAATTACTAAATAGCACAAATTAAAAATGCTTAATTATTGACAGATGCGACTTTTCTATTTTTTTCCAAAGGCTACTTGTTTAAATCGTGATGATTGCGAATTTTAAAATATTATTTTTTTACAAATTTGCTTGTAATTTTTTAACGGAATGAGATAGCCAATTCTGTTGTTTATAAAATTTGTTCAGAAAAATCAGCTCTATTTAAATATGCCAAAATATAGGTATGTTTCTGGGAAAATAAAAATCGATGACGTCATTATATATCAATTTCCAAATATGGAGAAATATGCAAATTTGGCTTAAAATACACTTTATTTAGTCCCATTTAAAAACCTCTTTTCAGATTTTTTTTATTATTTTTCGTTTTCTCGTAGAGATGAGACATCGAGTTCCGCTCACCCTGTACACAGTGGTACCCAAAAGACATAAAATAAAAAATGGTACCAAAGAATACAACAATAAAATACATTGGCGCAAATTGCATAAAGTCAGGCAGAGTTGGCGGTAAAATAAAGCATATTATTATGATGATGACGATATACGTATATTTTAAATATTAATCACAACTGATAAAAACAAAGCAATAGAGTCCAATACTGCACTATTTAAAAATTAAATTAATCTATATCTCTTTATATTTTGTTATCATATCAATTATTTTATCACTCCCATATATTTTGTTAAATATATTTTAATAAATATAAAATTTACCGATATTTTGGATACCTACTAGCTAATATATATTTCGTTAATTTTATTTCGAGTTTATAGAGTTGGGTAAGTAATTTTACTTTATTTAAACTGCAGGTTAATTTTGATATTAGATTTTTTTCTGGTAAAAAATTATAAACATTAAATAAGTTATATTGTATTTAAGTATACCTAATATTCGCTTATTTTTAAACTTATAAATACTTATATTTAGGTTAACCTGTTTTATGGTGTGGTATATGGGCACATAATATGGCAAGGTATTTGAATCGAAGAGATGGTAAGATTAAAATTAATATAAGGCAACAAATTTATAATTAAAATTAACAAATCATCATTATTTTTGTTTTTGATTGATAGGCTCAATTAGTAAACTTTTGATTATGTTTAAATTTAGTATTAGTAATGCACAAAAGATTATAAATAATAGAGGTATTTAATAATAAGAACTAATATAAATAACCTTACTTTGAAATAGTTTCTTCGAAAAAACTCCCTAGAAATAGTTTTATAGGTACATTATTTTTCAAAAAAATTAAGAGTAAAAGTAACTTAAGTATTGTAATACGAAACTGGGCAAATCTTGTAATAAAGTGCGTAGGTACCTGTAACAATTTGACACCTCTGACGCCGCCAGTTGCGATTTTATCATGCCTATCATCACGTGTTTTATAATCATCAGCAAGTTGATCCTTCTATTTTGTTTTTTCAATTTTTATTTCTTTATACCGAAATTAAAAATAGACGCCTTTAAAAAAAAGAGAGACATTTTGGGACAAAACCTTTTCAATAGGCCTTACCTACTTATGGAAGGTCATAGAATTAATTAATTCTATGCCTACCGCTCCATGTGAAAATTAAGGCCAGAGTTTGACGCTAACGCACGTTACCTGTTAAATTAGGTAACGTGTTACGTATAGTATAAATTCATCATAAAAACGGTAATCCGTTATTTTGCTAGGAGTGCGCACGAGCGCATAAGCTACGTACCATTGCGATAAAAAAAAGTAGTACAACAAAATATAATTTAATCTGCTATAATAAAATATTAAAAATTGCCCATTTTTTAAAGGTAGGTAAATTTTTTATACTTTTATTTCGCCACGTATACCTACCAATTATTACCAAATTCATGGTGACGCCTAAAAAGTTAGATGGCATAATTGTAGTGTTTTCATGGAGACGATGATATCCACTTGTCGATATCCTTATTATAGACCAGGAGTTCTATCTGGGACTACTAACTCTTGTACTACTTTTTTTTATCGCAATGGTATATGCTACTATGGTATAAAGTAAGGCTTAACCTTACATTATAGACAGGGTGTCCCAATATTCCGTGGACATAGAACTACTACGTATTTTTGGAATCAAAATAAGTTCATTGGGCACAATTTACCTCTATACAAAAGTGCTTCGTTTGTCCGCTAGACGGCATCAAACTTTAAAAAAATAAACACATTTTTTTAGATATTTTAAGAATCGTTATTCGCATTTCAATGATATTTTGGGTGACTATGTTTTGCTAATTCATGTGCTTTGGCATTTTACTTTCACAAAATAAAGAAAAAGTACGGGAAGGAACTAAACTATCCCACCCCTACATAAATGTTAGTATAAATATTATTCAACTCCACCGATGACAGACTTTCTTTTCGTAAAATGGTCCCTCTAGTATTTAATACATTTTTTGTCTCTTGTAAAGAAACGTCAAATCGCATAGTTTGTCAGAAAAACATTTTTGGAGAATTTATTTTTCCAAAGTAGACCTACAAAATATACAGCGAGCTCCAATATTTCGTGGACATTACGTATTTTTTTAATCAAAATAAGTTAATTGCACGTAATTTGCCTTTATACAAAAGTGCTTCGTTTGTCCAGAGCCTCAATAAAAAATAAACCTGAACGTTAATTAATTTAAAATTTATTAATTTTATTAAGCTTTTTATGACGCTTATTGTCAAATATAATTTGTGATACTAAGATAAAATTCCATATTTTTGCCAACTAGATTACTAGAGCATAACAGATTTTATGCGCCTCCATTGCTTGATGTGACAAAAATATTTTTCGGAAACCAGCTTCGGAAATTTTTTTATTCCTCAAAATTCTTAAATAATATTGAAATCGGGGTTTTGTCATAATATTTAAGTAATTTTTTTTTGCTAGTGCAGTTATTGGAACTATAAAACACCTAGGTACTAGGTTTGCGTGATGTAACGCTGTTTCGGGTAGTAAAAAATAGTGAAAAAGAATTCGAACTAGGCGTCTTGTGTTGTGACAATTTCAAATGTTAATAAAATTGTCTAAAAAAATGTTAACGCGTAAAGGAGAGCGTAATTAGAGAGTTTTTTGGTGCAATAACATTCAATAACTCAACTTTCACGGATATTCAACTCTCCCGAAACAACATTTTATAGCTTCATAATTTCTTACACCGATTTGATCAATAGCAAAAATGGATTCAAGCAGTTCGACGAAACAAGTAACTACTATATTATGAGAAGATGAAATATATTTTGCAATATTAATAGTATACTTTTTTAATCAACTATTGATTAAATGTTTTATGAACATCTTAAAATTATAATTATGTACCATTAAAAAATTTCGTTATAGCTGAAATAGCTCCAATTACGCCCCACTAGCAAAACCGGTGATAAAACTATGCTCGCTACCGTAGTTGAACTCATCTAATTTTTTTTTAACTGGAATAATAAATTATAATGCAAGTTAGATTTTCGTAAGATTCAAAATATTTACCTTTTTATTTTTTGTTTAGAATTTCCACAAATTACCCTTTCTAACACTTTTAGAATAATTATATACTAATTTTTTCGTTTACTCACCATTTAAACCCCTGTATTTGCATGTGTTTGTAATTTACGAGTTCTCCGGCAGTGGCAGCACTGGCGGAGAATGCACCAAGCCTATAGACATTATTGTTACTGGCCATGAACTTTAAAATTCAAAAGATTTTGACAATATTGATATCTAATCTAAACTGCTGAAAAATTGTAGATTTGACGACATTGCCCCGCATTGCCGTTAATGTCTGTTTTATTGCGGGCAGTCATAATATAGAATAGGAATAGGGTAATGTTTTTGTTTATTTAGTGCCTACCAGCTGGCATTTCAAATTTTTTACGTGTCTAACCGCTATCAATAAGCGACTCTCCTTTCACCGCAAAATTGCACGAATGACTTGATTGCTTGGATTCCAAACTTTTTTTTTCGTGTTTCTCTCTTTTTACGTATTTTTTATGTAACTTTCATACGTATTTAGTAGAGTTAAATGTTCCAAACAAACAAATTCCACTTGTCAAAAAATTCCTCTTGTAAAGACAATCCATGAAAATACTGCATTATAATTGTTTCATAGAGGAAATCGTTAGAATGACAAATATTAAAACTTTATAAATATGACTTATATGTTATTTGCTATATTTCTAAGATTGTCTTGATAACAAAATTCTTAAAACGAAACTATAATCTCTAATAGAATGGTTAATTTTCGAATCTCGTTTAGGAACCTAGGTATATAGGTATATATAGATATAGTTCCGTTTAAAATAACGAGCTGTCAGCAAATTTTACAACAGCAAGGTTTATTTTTTATCTCGAAAACAAATTGGTACAGGATAGTTAATAGAAAAATTATGAGACATAAAAGTAGTTTCCATCTATCTAATCTATCTAAAAACACTGTAATTTAGATAGATGGAACAGTTTTATATAAAAATATCAATTTTCAAAATGATGCGATGGTTTGCCTACCCTATACCGGGTGCGTCTCAAAAGTGGCTCACCCCTATAACTTTTATATTTTTTCAGATAAAAAAAAATTAGATTTGGTATGTTAGTATATGACATAAATTAGGATTGATTGGCATATTCAATTGTTTTCGGTCCTTCGACTTCCTTTTTCACTGCAAATGACTACAACTTTTGATTTTTAAATGGGATCCTCGGTATTTTTTTACTTTATTCGATAGAAAATGACACTCTGAATAGAATGACGTATCACATGTCAATTTTTGACATTTTCGCATATGGTTTATTTGAAATTGTAACATGCGGTTCATAATGACATTTTGACTCGAAATATCAACTCTGAGGTATCAAATTATTCGTAAAAAAATGCTTTTTTGAAATATGCTAATGAGCCACCCTCGTTCCAATTGAAATAAATAATATATGATTAAAAATACGATTTGGGCATCTTTTATCCGGCCAGCATAAGACACGAAAAACATTAGTCGACCAAATCTATTTTTCCAAGGCTCCTTGATTAAGAATTAGTGTTTTTAACACAGGTATGGCACTCTAGATTGAAATATAAAATACGATTTTTTTTAAACGAGAATCTCAAAAGTTGACATATGACAAATCAATATGTCAACTTCTGACATTCTCGTTTTTGACATTCTATTCAGACGGTCATTTTCTATCAAATAAAGTAAAAAAATACCGAGGATGCCATTTAAAAATCAAGAGTTGTAGTCATTTCCGGTTAAACAGGAAGTGACTGAAAACAATTGAATACATCAATCAATCCAAATTTATGTCATATACTACATCCTAACATACCAAATTTCGTTTTTTTTTATCTAAAAAAAATAAAAAAGTTATAGGGGTGAGCCACTTTTGAGACGCACCTGGTATAAAAAGTTATAGAATTTTACGCATTTACGCCACACTGTATTTATTTCATTTTTGATGGTAATTAATGATTATAAATTTATTCTAGGACCAAGTTATGGAATCTATTTGGATGAATTGGATGAAAATGAGGATTATAAGTTAAACGAGTTGAACCAACGCTCTGAAAAATACTTAGAGCTCAAAATGAAAAACGTGGATTTGAAAGTTACAGAACACGAGGCAGGATTATCGGTAATTGATTCAAAAATATCATATTTAAATGTCAAAAGGAAAAATGACAGCTTGAAAGATGAAGAACTAGAAATAGAATCTAATAACCATTCTACCGATGCTCAAGACGCCAAAAACCTGTTAATTGAGTTAATCGAGTTAATAGTAAATAATAAGGAAACTATTAATTTCAAGTATGTTTGCAATTTGGAATGGATTGCAAGGCTATTGGACTATAAAAAACTCGTACGTATAAGGCATAGTCAAAATATTAAATTTTACATTATTATTTACATAAACTGTTTAAGAAACCCAGCCTCCAAAGAAAACAAAGTTTATAATATCATATGTACTAAAGAAAATCTTTTAATTTATCTGACATATCTAAAATCAGAACTGAAAAATGAACGTAATAGAACAAATATACCGAAAACGCTGAACGAAGACTGTATCTCCTTAAAAAATATATTTTATTTGAGGAACATACTACAACATTTAAAATTTGCTGCCTCAGATAAAATAAACCGTTATAATGATCTTTGTGAATTAGTAATTGAAAGAACATTACAAATTTTAGCTGAAAATCTGAGAGATGTTTCTAGCTCAATAGCTAATATAATGATACAATACGAGGAAAATAATATTCCACTAAAATCCTTATTGACCTTCATACGTAATCAATTATCCCATTCAATTTTGCTTTACAAAAAAATGAACATGGAATCTAAAAATAAATTTAGAAGATTGCAAAATGATTTTAGTGTACTTTTTACTATACTGTGGGAAATTCTAGAAAAAGAAATAATTGCCGTTCTAAGGAAAAAAATTAAGAACATGATAGAAATGGGAGATATTAAGGAGTTGGAAGCAATACTAGTCACAATTATGGACAATGAACCAGTTTTTGTTGAAAAACCTATCATAAATAATATAAATAGATTGAACATAAAAGAAATCCAAACTAAAATTACAAATTATGATGAAAGTTATGGTAACATGTATTTAGGAATGCTACTTGTAACACTCCATAAAGAAACAGGAGAAGAATACAATAATATCTTCGAGGAGATTTATTCGTATTTAGAATTAGACGGCAAGGAAAATAAAGAAATATCTGAAAATTTTAGACTTTTTGTATATCAAATTTTAGAACTAAGAACGTGGTCAAATATAGAGCGTATCAAAGAGGTTATTAAACCATTCTTAAGTGAGACTAATTCTAAACATATTGCTTCTATAAAAAACCAAATAGAACGTATAAACGAAGGTAATATTAATAGATCCACATATACCAATAGAAAGGTTTCAAAAATTATTAACAAAATAAATAATTTTATCGAGAGTAATTCGGTTGAATTGTTGGAAACAAGAAGATTGCGTTCGGAAATCACAATAAATACTAAAGAAAAATTTAAAATAATGAAAAAAATTAAATTTAAAATAAATCATAAATATCATGAAAATTTTGAAGTGTCTAAGAAGGACGCAGGAAGCATTCAGGGCGAGGTAGATTTAAAAAAACTAGAAAACAAAATTACCAATTTTTTTCTGGAGAAAGCTAAAAATACGGCCAGAAATAATAGACAGAATAATAGAAACAAGTATATTGAAAAAACTGTTAAAAAAACGTTTAACACGTACTTAAATAATCGGATCACCGAAAGAGCAAATATGTTACATCCTAAAAATAACTATAACATTAACAACAGTTTCGTGGTAATGGCAGCTCAGAAAGTGATAGTTTTAGACTTGCTGGATTGTTTAACATGGCTACATGATACAACAGTCGATTTGTGTTGTACCGCAGAATTAGTTCCGATATATATCGAGACAAAGTTAAGAAATTTACTGGCTCATTCTTCAGATATTTTACCAACGATTTTACCTATGAATCTCGACGTACCGGTCTTGTGGTATAACTACAAATTTCGAAATTACAATACAATATTTGGATTAAAAAACGAACAGAAAGAAAACATTAAATTTCGACAATGCGATAAAAAATCCGAGAACCTGAAATTAAAAAGAAACAACAACGGAATCAATCCAGATGTTATAGCAAACTACAAGAATCATTTGAAAATTGCCGATGAATTAGATAAGTTTTTTGAAAGCGCTCGGAAAGGAGATAAAAAAGGAATTAAGTTGTATCTAGAGTGTGAAATGGACTTAACGATTGTCGATTTAGAAGGAATGACGGTGTTAGATCGAGCCATTCAGTCAAAACATGTTAATTTCGTGAAATATTTAATAGAGGAAGAACGAGCCAAAGTTACTACCAAACAACTTGAAGTCGCTATACTACACAAGTACAGCGATTTAAGGTAAAGTATACATTAAAAAAATTAATTTGTGAATTTAATAACAATACTGAGGGTTGTTTTTTACCACAGATTGTTGTAGTAAATTTACCATCCGTTCTTTGGTTTTATAATCTAAGAGCTAGCAACGTTTTCGAGACAGTATTTTAAGAAAGCTGGCTCTTTGATATACTATCTTTTACTATGCTCTCTGTAACAGCATGCGACCCATCTGGCTGCCGATACCCGTTGCGTTCACTACTGCGCAGCGAAAGAAGATCCTATATATGTTTTATATTTAGTCCGTTAAATTCTAGTATTGAATATAAATCGAACAAGTCTACATAGCGCAGCACATAGTAGTCCAGTCATCTTAGTCGAAATAAGGTAGGAATCTCGGAATTCAAGATAACCGGCTGTAAACTCGTATAATCCTTTATTTGAACATCCTAAAATATGTCTCAAAACCTACATATGACAGAGTGTGCGCGACTTGTAGATAACTGAGGTCAAAGGTCAAAAAATCGATTTTTTGTGCATTTTTTGCAAATATCTCGTTCCCTTTCACATTTATGCTATTTGTATTTATTACAAATATTGTTGAGGATAAAATTCTCTACAACTTTTGTTTCAAAAATTTTTTTGTACCTTAAACCGTTTTTGAGATAGAGGGCGGTGAGCGCGCAGTCTTTCATTATGTACGGTATCATTCAAGTTCAACCTGCAGTCTCGGTCAAAAACACGCCGTATAAAGTCCGTTAATTACTGAAAAATATATAATTATAAATAATTTACATTTTTTCATAAAAGATCATATTGAATATAATTATATTATACTTAGATTTATACTTAATAATTATATTTTAAGTAAATAAAAAGACAAGAAATACATTTTTAATTTATATGTCTACTAAAAAATACGATTTCATATATTTCTCATGGTTGAAATTAAAAAAAATTGAATCAAAATAAAAAGAACTCCATGTTCTTATTTTTAGTTTTCTTCTTCTTCTTTATCATCGTCGTCAGGTCGTTGTGGAATTTCAAATTCATCTTCATTTTCATGTTCAACGACATTTGTCTCCAAGTCTTCTAGGATTTCGGAGTCAAATGTACCATCTTCATTGACATCACTCTGATAGGGTGAAGCATTGAGACAAGCTTGCCCATTACACTGGCCACAAGCTAAAGAGCACAGCAACCCCGATTTCCTGCATCCACATCATGAACCATAACCATTCTTGCAGTTGAAGAATATTGTGCAAATTTTCTGGAGCTGAAGGTAGAATAGTAGTGGTAGGTTCCAGGAAATGATATTGGATTAATATTATAAAAAAAAAGTTTACGGATTTTATGGAAAATGTACTTAATTATTTTCTACTTGAAATGTAATTATCACAAACATCACAAACAAAGTAAACAAACAAGGTACACAAACAAGCAAACAAAAGATAATACAAAACATTATACAAATAATATTGTCAATCTTATTGTTTAAAATAAACATTTATAAAGGTACTGAGGTACAAAAAAAAATTTTAAACAAAAGTTGTAGAGAATTTTATCCTCTACAATATCTATGATAAATACAAATAGCGTAAATGTGAAAGAGAACGAGATATTTGAAAAAAATGCACAAAAAATCAATTTGTTGACCTTAGACCGCACTTATCTGCAAGTTGCGCACACGCTATCATATGTAGGTTTTGAGACATGTTTTAGGATGTTAAAATAAAGGTTTATACGAGTTTACAGCCGATTATCTCGAATTCGGAGGTGAAACCCCTAAGATGACTGGACTATAGAGTTTCCGACTGCGAACCGAGGATTCAGAGTTCGAGACCGGGTCAGGGCAAAAACTTTTTTATTTTCTTTTCTTTTATATTCTGATAGTAAAGTATTAAATATTTGTTTTTTTTTGAATCACCAGAATTATTTATTACTTCGACTCCTCGCTTGATAGACGGAACCTCTACGTGCTGAGCTATGGAATCTTGGTCCGTTTATATTCAATACTAGAATTTAAAGGACTAATAAAAATATAGGATCTTCTTTCAATGCGCAGTAAGGAACGCAACGTTTACCGACAGCCAGATGGGCCGCATGCTGTTCCAAAGAGCATAGTAAACGATATATTAAAGATCCAGCTTTCTTAAAACACTTGTTTTGCCGACGTTGCTAGCTCTCGTACTATTACAACATAATTAGGAAATCGCTGTATAGTTAATTTGTGGAATGTATAATATAAACATGTTATAATATACACACACCGGAAAAGTCTAGGGATATTACAATTTTATCCAGCCATCGTCAGTAATTTTATTATTTGCATTTCTGATATAATAAAATTGAAATAAACAAATAGTTTACAGGACGTATTGGAAATAAAAATGCGAAATTTACCGAATTTTTCAAATTTACCTTGATTTTTATTGAACTCAAAAAAATACACACATTTTTTTAAATTCTAAACTGTGAATTAAAAAAAAGATAAAACTATTTTTACTTAATAAAGGGTATGACCTCCTCTACTGTTCATTACAGTTCTACATCGTCTCTCCATGCTCCTGATCAGGTTGTCGATCTCTTCTTGAGGTATAGCCTGCCACGCTGCGTTCACGGCCCGAACCAGATCCCTACGAGTTTCTACTTCCTCTGGACCGCGTCCCATACGTGATCGATGGGGTTGAGGTCAGGAGATTGTGCCGGCCAGGGTAAGATGTTTAATTGATGAACACTTACCACTCTGGCTGTATGAGGCCGTGCATTGTCATGCATGAGAATGAAGTTTCTCCCAAAATCATTGGCATATGGTAACACGACAGGCTCAAGAATTAAATCACGATATGTGATTCCTGTTAGAAACCTTTCAAGAAAAACGAGATCGGTTTTTCGGCCTAACTGGACCTCCTCAGACCATAACTGTTCCCCTTGATAAGGGTGCACTTCCTGAACATGATCCAACCGAATAAGATTTCCCGGTTCTCTCCATACCCTAAGCCTTCTCGAATCCGGATGAATTCCAAAGCGTGACTCATCCGTGAAGAGAACATTGGCCCATTGTTCATTCGACCACTGAACATGATCTTGAGCCCACAAATATCGTACCTCTCGATTTCCTCTCGTTAAGGGTTGAGCTCTCCAGGGGCGTCTGCTTCTCAAGTTGACCTCTCTTAATCTATTGCGAACAGTGTCAGGACTAACGGTTATATTATGTGTTTCCTGGAGAATTAAACTAAGCTCTGGTGCTGTAAGAGTCAGTCAGCGTCGAGCATTTAATTGTAAAAAATGATCTTGCTGAGGGGTAGCAATGCGATGTCGCCCTGTGTGCCTTTCAGCAACATCACCACTTTCACGGCAGCGTGCACTTAATCGCGATATTACACTTTGCGTTGTATTTAATGCTCTTGCTACGTCGATTTGGCGCATTCCAGCTTCGAGCATACCCATGGCCCTTAGCATTTCGTCTCTGTTAAAATGTCTACGCTCCATAATGTCGTTTAATACTAAACAGAGTTATTTGAATGAATTCTGGCCAGTTATCATAAAAACATAGCCATTACAGGTTAAATTCGAACAATTGATGCTAGGTGCTTTTTATACATTTGACAAAAAATGCACAATCACTTCTGCAAATATTCCAAATTTAGAAATAACTAGTGGAAGTGTGACTAAGAAGTGTGACTACTTCGTTTCAATCGAAGTAGAAAGAATCGGCCTACAAATATGTGGTTGTTTATTCAAAACATTTATTTTTAACTTTAATGAAATGATATCCCTAGATTTTTCCGGTGTGTGTATATATATATTTTTATATTCACCAATATCCTTTGTGAATTTATTTAAAAAATGTGTATCTCATAGTAAATTTATTTATTCATTGTAAATTTAGCTTTTATCGTATATTTAACTACAAAATGAAACGTTGTGTAAATTAAAATAATGGAGGTCCGACAATTATTCTACTCTCAATATCATATTGGCTGTTACAAACTGATTTAGTGCATTATGTAAATTTTGAGACTAATAAAGAGTAAAATTTGATTTCTTACCCAGTCCTACACGTCACGAGCCGCCTCCAGTTTACTTATTACATATTTTTACCTCTCTCACTTTAAAGTAACCGACCCCAAGAGGGCAAACTGTACTAAATAAGCTGTGGTACCAGATTCTAATTTAACTAAGTCGTCTAAGTAAATTTCTATTATTTGCAATAACAAAGTATTTTTTGTTTGCAGGTATTTACTAACAAAGGCCGATAGGTCCTTAAGCGATTCTTTTGACGCTGAAGGTACTTACAAAACTACAAATAAAAATACTCTTCTCAATATTGCTGCCGAAACCGGAAATTGTGAATTTTTCCAGTTCCTTATTGATCAAAAACAAAAACTCAGAAGCATCCATTTAAGTTCGGCTTTTGAATTAGCCTGCAAAAATGGTCGCCCCAACATTGTCAATCTGATACTTAATGAGTATGGTAATTTTCTAGTTAATATTCATTCGGTTCATCGTGCCCTAACATTGTCCATAAAATATCACCAGATCAACATTGTACCCTTACTTTTGCAACACATTTCTGACGTAAATGACGCAAAGATCATTTCGAACTTTTATCTGGCTGCTCAACTGGGTTGTACGAGTACGGTCTTGGAGTTCATCAGAAGAAATATCGATATAAACTGTCAAGATTCGGATGGTTGGAGTGCTTTGCACCATGGCGCTCACAAAGGTTGTATCAATGTAGTTCAAATTCTAATAGAACATAAAGCAGATTGTAAATTAACCAACAATAATGGTTTCACGCCACTAGAATTAGCACACGATAGCACTATCAGAGAAGTCTTAAGCAAATACGTATAAATCGTGTTACAGCGTTTTCAGGTGGAGCGAAGCATCCGCGACTTCGAGCAAGTACCATGAGTTTATATGAACGATTTCACATGGGTCGCGTATGCTCCGTCCGGATAAGCGATATTGAAAAAACATCCGTGCGTACGCTCCGCGCGTACGGTCCGCTCCATCTAAAAGCGCTGTAATACATTCTACTAACTCATAAAAAATTAACATTTTTATATTTATTTTTTTGATAAGTAGGTCAATACTGGTTGGGCGAATATATTAATTAAAAAAAAACAAACCATGTTTTTTTAATTATATACATTATATTTTTAATAAAATTGTACATCGTGTTAAAGACGCTACTTAATACAGTTATTTTTCTACAACTCATAAAAAATTAACAATTTTATATTTATTTTAGTTTGATAAGTAGGTCAATATTGGTTGCCCGAATATATTAATTAATATTTACAAACAATTTTTTTTTAATTATATACATTATGCTTTTAATAAAACTGTAGAAAACTTTGTTATCTCGTTTTATTGTATAAGTAATCGGCTCGGTGTTGTTTGCAATCCTTTTAATTGAACCTATTTGAGAACCAATTAATAAATGTACATTAATAATTTTAAAAAATATATATATTTAGTTGTGATATTTTTATAACGGCGCTAGTGAAAAAACTAGAAGAAATATTTAGGTATAGAGACATTACTATACAGGGTGAATCTATTTGTTTTAGTTTGAAAAGTAGGTCAATATTGGTTGGGCGAATATATTAATTAATATAAGCAAACCATTTTTTTTAATTATATACATTATATTTTTAATAAAACTGTACATCGTGTTAAAGACGCTACTTAATACAGTTATTTTTCTACAACTCATAAAAAATTAACAATTTTATATTTATTTTAGTTTGATAAGTAGGTTAATATTGGTTGCCCGAATATATTAATTAATATTTACAAACAATTTTTTTTAATTATATACATTATGCTGTTAATAAAACTGTAGAAAACTTTGTTATCTCGTTTTATTGTATAAGTAATCGGCTCGGTGTTGTTTGCAATCCTTTTAATTGAATCCTTTAATTGAATAAAACTGTACATCGTGTTAAAGACGCTACTTAATACAGTTATTTTTTTACAACTCATAAAAAATTAACAATTTTATATTTATTTTAGTTTGATAAGTAGGTCAATATTGGTTGCGCGAATATATTAATTGACATTAACATTATTTTTTTTTAATTATATACATTATGTCTTTAATAAAACTGTACAAAACTTTGTTATTTCGTTTTATTGAAATGTATAACTATATACTTTATTAAAAATTCCTTTATGGGTATTTCGCCACTGCACTGCAAGAAAATCTACAAAATAAAATAATTATTTTTTGTAAATACTTCTGCGTTAAACCTAAACGGACGCTGCTTGTCAGAAGTTATGTTTACAGTAATACAAATTTGCCTAACAAAGAAAAAAAATGCTTAACGTTTCGGAAAGTTATCTCTTTCCGTCGTCGGAAACAAAAAAATACAAAGAATAAAGAAAAAAACTATTTAAAATATTTAAATTCAACTATTCGAGAACACATTACTTTTTTAAAACCGATATGTCTACAAGAAACCGTTGACGTTCTGTTAAAATGACATTTTTAACTTGATATTTAAACTTCAAAATTAACAATTACTACCTGATAACAATTACTTAATAAGGTAAAACCAAAAAGCTTCAAACTTTCTGTATGATTATTTTTAAATTTTACGTATGTTATATTTATTTATCTTGTTGTATCTATTGTTCTTTAAAATCAAAGAAGCGATTGCAATCAAGAAGCAATACATTTATTTTTATTAGATTGAATTAAAAAAGCCACTTTTATTTTTCTTTTAGAAACTATCGCTTCTTTCATTATAATTTTGGCGTTATTAAAATTTATTCTGTGCCCTGTGTCCCAGGAATGCTGGCAAAACTTAGATTTGTGAAAATCTCCCTTATAGCTCGCCATCGAGTAGTCAGATTCAGGTCTCGGTTGCAGAGTAGAGTTCTCATTTTGAAAAAAGTGTTTCTGGCTATTTCAATTCTATGTTTGATTTCTTCATCAGGATCCTATTTATCATTCAGCCAGCAACCCAAGTACTTAAATCTTCTTACCCTTTCTATATTTTGATCTTCCACTTGTATCCTGATATTTTCGATATTTTGTTTGCTGATAATCATAAATTTTGTTTTGTTTATATTTGTTTTAAGACCATGACTCTGACTAATACTGCTAACTCTGTCCACCAGGCACTGCAAATCCTTCTCATTGCCAGCTAGGAGCACCGTATCGTCAGCATATCGGATGTTATTAATAGGTTTACCATTCACCTTTATTCCCACTACTAAATCTTCCAACGCCTCCTGGAATATCGATTCAGAATATAAATTAAACAGAAGTGGCGATAATATACATCCTGGTCTGACGCCTTTAAGATTACCATTGTCTGACGCCTTAAGATTGCCATTGCCATATTGAAATCTTGTTGAAAAAAATCATTCTTTAATTAGAAATAAGTAGTTTTAACACAAAGTGTCAACAATTCCAAAATACTATCTATGTTTATTTTTGTTCTATCTATTAAATGTGTATCTTGTTCTAAACTACCCCTAACTATTTTAAGTGATTTATCTACCGGCACATTAGTGAAAAGACTAACAACGTCAAAACTAACCATTAAACTGTTAGGTGTTATATTAATTTTTGAAATTTTTTCTATAAAATGTGGTGTGTTTTTAATGTATGAATCGGTGTTATTTGCAATCGAATTTAATATGTCTAGTAAAAATTTTGCTAACGGATGGCATGGAGAATTTATACTACTGACTATAGGTCTAAAAGGTATACCCTGTTTATGTATTTTTGGTAAACAGTAAGGCTGTACTGGGCAAATATATCATCATGTATATAAATATGTGAATAGCTTTGTACTGGTGAAACATGGAGACCTCTAAATGTTTGAATTCAAGTACCTAAAGATTACTTAAAAAATGGCGATTTTCGTAAATCAAAAATTTGTCAGCATTAATGAGAGACAAGGCACATAGTAGATTTAGACAATGCAACTAATTTTATAGTGAAAGAATAAAGGATATTTAATTAATTTATAATAAGTAAAGAAAGAAAGAATACGCGTACTTATTATACGGGGTTCATTTATATGCTGTTTTATTAATTCTATATTAGATTTTATAAAAATCTTATAAAAGTTTTATAGGTCTTGGTCTTGCTTTTTGTAAAAGACCAAGACCAAGACGTGTCTCGCTCCTTATGTTTTGCATCAGGAAAATGTAAAAACCTCCTTGAATCAGATATTGTTGAACTCACTGATAAATAAAGAACTCGAAGAATTGGACCATAAGAATGAAACTGAAGAAAGTGATGAAGATGTCCAAGTAGCATTTTTGAACACATTTTAGGTAAAGTTTCTAATAATCGTGTCTGTTTCTTGACACAAAATGTGAAGAGTATGCCACAAACCTGTAGTATTTTATATGGCTTTATTACATGTGTTTCCAATGTGGTGGCATTAGCAGTTTCCTGAAATGCTTCGATGCGGAATCAAAACTTTTAGAGGAAATGTTTCGAAACATTTTCTGCAATTTGTGTCCAAGATGTTCCCGTTTTTAGCAGCAACTGTTTCTAAATGTGATAAAACAAAATACCTAACTAAAATAGTTTATGCCTGTGTGTCGATTTCGAAATGAAAACAACCATCAACAATGTCGACTTCCGCCATAATTTTTTTGTCTTAAAATCTTTGATTTTAGGTTTTCTCGTACAAAAATGTCTGGCAAAAGCAAATTCATTGTTTAATTTAATAATGTACTTTCATATTTGTAATTCCCCTTCTATATATCATTATTTGTTGCTACAAAATATTTTTGTTTGAAATATAGATTTTTATTTCTATATCATGGTTCTGGGAATAAATATGTATTAATCAATGTAAGTAGAACGCGTTCTTATGAGTTTAGAAGCTCAACAGCCGATAAAAACATATATTTTTAGTTAAAAACGCTATCACTAGCCAACGTAGCGGAATGTTAATTCATTATTTTATGAAATTGACATGGAGTTGGGCACAAATCATCTACATTATATCATATTTGTGTCTAAAAAGAAAGAAACTCGTGTTTCGAAAATTAATCAACAATAAATGGAGACCTGTGTAAATGGAAATATCAGTGTAGAAATTAGTCGAACTAATTTCTAAAAAACTAGTCACCTGTCAACAACGCTAATCAAAACTTCTGGTCAAAATAATTAAAACATTTTAATTTACTTATTACAACGCAATTAAAGCATAAAAACATATATTCCATTGTGGAAAAAAGAGAAAAAAAATTGCTGGTAACATTTTTCTTCGGACTCCTATCGGGTAGGGGTAGTGGCTGTTATTAAATGTATTCCTAAAACAAATCATTTCTGTAATGCGTATAACAAAATAATTATAAAATCGCATAAGAAAAATATCTGTATTTGTACTTACCATATATGTCCTTACTTCTGCTTTTTTAATATTATAAAAACTTGAAGAATGCTTAAATGTAAAAACTGCCATACAAAATCCAAACAATAAAGTAAGGTTTCTCATACTTGATAGAATATCAAATAAATTATGGAAACTTTTCAGGCACAAAACGGGTACGAAATATTTGTAAATGTGAGCCATATCTGTATCCTAAAAGTTTCGAAAACTGACCATTAAACTGTTAGGTATTAGATTAATTTTTATTAATTATTTATTTCTGACACTAAGATCTTTATTATTGTTATAGCGTATGTAGCGAAACCATATTTTGGTAAAATGTTTTGTAACAAAAAGCGATTTATGTTAAGAAACATATGTATCGAAAATGTGACGAAACTGTTTCGCAGTGTTTGTCAGGAGATATTTTGTTTCGATTTTGTGTCTAAAAATGCTACTTGGCTGTAGTCCTGGCATCACAGACGTTAACACTGAAAACTCTACATAAATTTATTACTATAGCACATGATCTTTGAAAATTAATGAAGGGCACAAAATACCATAACAAACTCTTAATTTTGTTTGTTTTTATATTTACAAAACAAAGAAGGTGTGAAATCAATTCAGTTTAAATATTTTTCCTCATTTTTTATCCTTCCCAAAGCATACGTTCGTTAAAATTCCGTCCATCCGGAAAATTGGCGGTAATTTCAAAAAAACACATGGAAAAACAACGCATTTATTAGTTCGATGTGGCCTAATCGTTCGACAAAAACTTTGCCGTTGCTATTGGAAAAATGTTGGTGCTTTGGCAAAACCTAATTTAGTCGGTCCGGTTAATTAAAAACGGACAAATTGCCGTTGCTGCGTCTAAACTGTCTAAAAACAAATCCATCCACAAATAGGACGTGCAAATTCGGGCTTTGCAGGCTTAGTAACGTTTTTTTTTTCATTACAGGACGTCTGGTCAAATAACACAAGAGCCAGATTTCATGCAAACAAAGTTTTGTTCGCAACTGTTTTTATTAAAAAAATCATATGGTTGAAAAAGTCAGGTTAATAAAATGCTGACCAATGACAGACCGTACAATTTTGAACACTACAGGAAATTTTAAGATAACTTGTCGCTGTTTGTCTTACTGTATAATGACTATCTGTGTATAAGACTAAGGATGAAATAATCTAATATTATTATACAAGGTAAGTCTTAGATAAGTGCAAATATTTTCAGGGCTGGCAGATTTCGATAAAAGAAACATATTTTCTCTTTACCGGGTTTCAAATAAGTCCAAAATAACCGAGTTATTCAAGTTTAGAAAAAAAATTGATTTATTTTTAAAAAAATTTGAGAGCCACTGGATTTTTTCTGTATTTTCATGCCTTTTAGTACCGTAACCGTGGTAATATCAGAGATGAATAAATTATACCGTGTTCAAATTTTCGGTGAACAGGTAGTTCTAAAAAGTTTTCTAAAATATACAGGAAAATTTAAAGAAAATGCACGACTTTCAATTATGTCGCAAAAAATGTAAATATTCCATAGGCATATTGATAAATGAGGTCTAAATTATAAGAAAATCCATGTTCGAAACCTTCAAGAGATAGGTAAAAATGGTATAATACAATTTGATAGACAATTAAATTATACATCTAATTTGTAGTAAAATATACAGGGTGTTTCATTTAAATTCAAGAAGTTATTGCCGTTTAAAGCTAGTAATTATTT